CTCAAAGGATATGAATTTTCCGCACCACAAATCTACCAATTTTTTTTACTATACGGTATCGACGGTATGTTTTGAGTAAATCCCGGTCACTGTAAATATAAAGTTGTTCCTCGATTGTCAATTTTTCAGTAGGTTTGTATATCTGGGCTAGATTTCATTTCAACATTGTCCACATATCACCAATTGGTTTTGCCTTGTCTTCCTTTTTCCGTTAACTTCGAGTGTCGCTTTCATCGAATTTTAAAAAACGTATGATGTAATCTATTTACTCCCATTATCGCGCAATGCAGCGGATAAGAATTGGAATGCCACATATCAAAAGAGTGATCAGTATTTGTGTTATTTGCGACAACGCAAATAATTAATCAATAAATATCTGGTATCTTAACGGACTTCCACTGGCGTTGAGACTCTATACAACTTTCATTGTAATTTTGATAAAAAAAAGACTTCATCCTTTTTTTAGTGTGACGGAAGATTATGTCCACCATGTCATAAGTAAACATGTTTTTGAGCTTTTCGATCGCACTCGTCATAAAAAATTAATTATTATATCATATAGTTTGATAATAATATTTTTACACAAAATTATAATAAATATATTTACCTAGCAAATTCAGCTCTCGACGGTTGTATCATAATGTTGTTTTTCATTGCATAGAGAACACCACCAATAAATCTTGCCAAAATTAAAACTATACTATGAACGCGGTCGCATCAAGTGTGTTTCACAGTTCTACAGAAATTTTTTTTTTTTAATTTTTTCCGAAAATAGTTGAAAAGTGTTTATATTTAGCAACAATAAACAATATTTACAATATTAGGGTCCGTACATAAGTTGGTTATTAACATAAGGGTTAAACTTATATGTACGATTCGGAAATATTAGCAATATATACTTATATAAATAAAGTTACTTTCATTATACTTTTGCAACATGTTGCTACAGAGTATACTACACGCTTGTTTGTAGCATCTAAAACTCATCGAGATAGATATCGGGACGATACTTCTCTTAGGCCCCATTTATGTATCTAATATGGTAGAACGGTTTTTGAACTTCCGGCTGACTATATACCACATTATTAGGTTATCTAAATAAAATTAAGTGAGCGCCTTCTTCTAATAACGGTGCATCTTTGTGCCTAAAATGGATTAAATCGAGTGAAAACTTGCTCTAGAGCCCATATGACTGATATCCGAATTTTCAAATTTCCGGTTGACTTAACTCATTATATATTAGTGATGGTATGTGAGGTATCTTAATGAAACTCAGGGAGCGTTTTATTAGTAATGTGGCAGGATAATAGTATGTGGTATGGCCAAAAATAGAGGAAATCGGTTTAACACTACGCCTATCTCCCATATACGTAATATACAATAAGATTTTCTAACTTCCTGTTGGCATTATACCATATATATCAGTCAACATGTAAGTTATCTTAGCAAAATTAACTGAACGTACAATGTTGGATGTGCTATGGTTTAATGCCGAATCGTCAATTTAGTCTACAAATTAACCAAAATCCAATATACTACATACTTGTATAATGATTTTCGTTATTCTAACAAACTTTAAGTCGTTATATACATATATTAAGTGAGTTATATATATATTTTTAACTAAATTGCTTGAAAATATGTTCTCAAGTATACAACAGCAATGTCAAAATTAATGCAATCATCCTATCCTTTTCCCTGCTCCAGGTTGGTCAAAATGTGTGATACTTTAATAAAATTAAATGGAAAAGTATTCTTAAACATTATGTGATGCATATGAATGAAATTGATCTAGATCTTGGTCTAAACCTTATATCCCTTATATATAGGGGTGTTGTGGAATCCAAGACAGATTTGCGTAGTTGTCAGAATTGCAAACCAATCTGATTTTCAATGGTGTCACAGAATCTGATTGGATTTTCGTCTTTTCGAACATTTGCAAAACCAATATTCGAATCAGCTATTTACTATTGTGACAAAATTTGTAAATGAATAGATTTGGAAACGACTGATAAATTTGAAGTACCGAGAAAAGTCTACTCAAGTTTTCAATGGGTTCCGCTGTTTTACTGAAAGAAAAAAGCAACGAAAAAATTAAAAGGAAGATATTAAAAGATCACAGTAATCCACTTGATGTACCAGGGGAATCACATTTGAAATTTGGTTTGCATTTACTTGTATGCTTGTATACACGCTTACTTTACAAATTTATATCACGTTATCGATTGAATAAAGACGTTATTACGTAAGTCCTCTTAACATATCTGCATTATTTTCATAAACTCAATAATTATGACATTTTGTGTTTTATTCTTATGTTTTCCCCTATAGAAATAAAGATAAATTAAATTGCAACAATTATATAAATTTATTTCTTAACTTACATTTCAAATCTTTCAGCGACTTTCCTCTGTTGTTTCTAATAATAAAACCGATAAAATTGGTTTCCGTGACACCCAAATCGATACAGTTTCTGTTTTGAACGTCAAACCAATGATATCTGAATTCATGACACCCACTACATTTTTTTATCGGTTTCAATTCTGATTCCGACAACTACCAGATTTTACAACACCCCTGATTTTATTGTAACTTTCATTGACGCGAAATAAAATATATTAGTAAAACTGAGCGAGTATATGACCATCAATAAATGGAAGTTAATACAATACCAAAAGTGATTGTAATCCGTTTGATTTCTTCGAATAATCATGTTGAATTCTTTCGCAACATTTTTATACTTCTGCCCTCTAAGAGGTTACAAATCTCCTAAACCGCTAAGGATATAAAAATCGAAATTCGCTCAGGACAAATATTATTAGCGCCTATGTGTAAAAAAGTGTGAATTCGGATTATAACCCCGCCCACTTCCTATAAACGGTTTTGTTAAATACTCCTAAAGGTGCGATAAATCTATAAATAAATGCGCCAGAGACATAAAATGATACAAGAGGGCTTTACCGAAGCCGCTGCCATAATTGGATGATGGGCGTGGAGGCGCCCACATTTAGGTGGAAACCCATATCTCGTGATCATATCGACCGATTTCAATTAACTTCGGTAGGTAGCATTATTCTGACATTCCAACGTTATAGCGCGTATACCACACCTTTAACTTAACACAACTTTATACAACATACAGTATTCTTGTATGTCAAAAATGGTTTGAGGTGGATGAAGGCTTCCCTTAACCACCATATACTTAATATAAAGATTTTCGAACTTCTGGTTTACTTTATACCGCATATATCGGCCAATATCTGAGTTATCTTAGTGAAAACGAGAGAGCCTTTTTTACTAATAACAATGTATCTTTGTACCCTAACTTTACTCCATATATATTGGTGATGGTAAGTGTTCCTTAATGGAACTCGTGCGGCATGTTAATAGTATGTGGTATTGCCAAGAATAGATAAAATTTGGTCAATTCCTCCCTTAGACCCCATATACCTATTATACAATTTTCAAACTTCCGGTTAGCCTTATACCATATATCGTGTACGAATTACCTCCACTCCCATATACTACATACAATGATTTTCGTTTTTTAAACAAACCTTATGACGAATATGTCGTTTAGTGTATGAGTTATATTATATATTTATTAAATTACTTTAAAAGAAATACTAATTTTAAATGTATTCAAAGTATTGGTCATTGCTTTTTACACATTTTGACCACCTTTCCGGCAATTTGTGGATACCATAGCAATAGAATTGAAGCAAACCAATCAGATCGTAAAACTGATTTTTTTCGGGTCTTTGAAGCAAGATTTCTCAAGTGTTTTTTTTTTCGGTTTTCCAATTGTCTTTCATTTAATTCCTATTTGCCACATTTGGATAATTCCCATAGCTTTTAAGCGGTCTGGAATTGTTTGTTGGGCAACATTTAACATGGCTGCCATTTACTTTTGACTCAAGGTATCATCTTGCTTGCAAATCGGCGTCTCTAAACTTTTTTGGTGGTCTTCCATGTTCTTCATTTCTTATTTTAAAATCATTATCTCTGAACCGTGGAAATCATCTTTTGCTTGTTGCTTATGATAGAGCATGATAACCATATGCCTTAACAAGCATTCGATGCGACTCTTTTGAAAAAATATGATGTTGTTTGTTGTTGAATATGTAAGGTGTATTAATCTCATACATATATTATACTTTAAAACTTGAAGTAAATGTAGTAACTGTAACTGGTCTTAAGTAGTAGCTCCTATATTGGCACTATTCGTTACATATAGCAGTTTCAATCGTTTAGTGCTAGAGGCAGTTATAGACCGATATTACTCAGCCTACTTAAAATATATTCTTACATAAATTCAATAACGATAGCTTAAGCGTTGGCTGATATACTGCCTTACGACATGAAGTCATATATACAAGTTAAAATCAATCAGATGTACCAGTCAATTTCACTGTAGCCTTATCGTAAAGTTGAACGTTTTCGCAGCTATTATTTATACAGTACTGGTGTTATGTGAGAAGGGGTGGTTATTATCCGATTTCACTGATTTTCACGTAATTGTTAATAAGAAATGCCTAAAGACAATATGGGAAAATTTTAAAATAATGTCCTTTAGAATAGTGAATTTAAGAAAAACTGAAATTATGATTTAAATGTATTTGTGCACTATTTAATATGAAATAAATGAGTAGAAATAATTTGTGGAGTGTTAGTAGATATAAAAGTGATAAATGTAAGTGTAAAATTCATTATAAATCAAAATATTACATCCCTTAAATTGTTATAATTTTAATCTTCAAGTGTAAATATATTAAAAACTATAAGTTTTCCACCACTATATTTATATCAGGGTTTTCAATAGGGACGATAAGATTTCTAAGTGTCGTTTCAGCCATTTTTAATATTTTATGATCTGTATTTTCTTTTTATTGTATTCAGTAGTGTTTACAATTTCGTCGCGAATTTGCTGATTTTGCCTTGGAAAATTTTGAAAACGATAAGGATTTTTTAAGAAAATCATTTTCTCCGAAGAGGCTCACTTTTATCTGAGTGGTGCAGTAAATAAACCAAACTGTCGATTCTGATGCGATGGAAATCCACAAATTATTCATGAACAACCATTACATTCACCTAAATTTACAATTTGGTGTGGTTTTTGGTCTGGTGGAATCATCGATCCGTACTTCTTTCGAAATGAAGCTGGTGACACCGTTACTGATAATGGAGAGCGGTATAGACCGATGATAACCAACTTTTTATGGCCGCAATTGATAGAAGTTGATCTTGACAACATCTGGCTCCAACAAGACGGGCCTACGTGCCACACAGCACGTTCAAAAACCGAATAATTGCGAGACAAGTTTCGCGATTCGATAATTTCAAGCAATTGTGTCATTGAGTGGCCTCCAAGAAGTTGTGATTTAACGCCATTAGAATACTTCTTGTGGGTTATTTGTAGAACTGATTTATAGCAATAAACCAGACTTCAAGCTTTAGGAGTCAATATTGAACGTGCTATTCATGACATACGACTTGATTTAGTAGAAAAAGTATCCGAAAATTGGGTTCATCGGATTCATTCCTGCAAAAAAAGTCGTGGAGGTAATTTGAATGATGTTATATTCAGAACTTAAATGTATCGATTGTACTTTACATTAAATAAAAAACATTTGAAATTCCTTAACTTATAAAAATATCATATCACTCATATTGGAAAACCCTTTATATATTCTTAATGTGAGAGCCCCCGGTATCCATCCATACCCTGGAGGAGGGCGGAGCCACGCCCAATTTTCTTATATTACTGGAAGTGCCAAAAACGGCGTGTACGGAGTTTTGTCAAGATATTTCAATTTTTACTCAATGGTCAGACATACAAGTCAATTCATCCCGTCATCCTGGCCTTTTGGATATATTTAAGCTCAATTAGTAACAGGTGTTACAAACAACAGTTAAATGTATCAAAAAAATGCTGAAGTATGTTACTTAAAAAATCAAAACTAAGAGGTATGTAGGTTGCATAAGGCTCTCGCAATAAAATAACTTCAAATTATTAATCAGGAAGAAAATGCGCTCGCCTCTTATTCGGAGGCTATATTCATTAATAAATCAAAAGCGAATAAGGAAATTTTTTAATCCGTTTTACCTTTATTATCACAAAAAAAAGTTCCAATATGTTCTTAACTTTACATAACAAGCTTGCTTAAAGCCTGATATACATAAAAACTTAACTATGTACAAAAATAGTAAAACAATGCTTACCCATAGCAAATCGCCAAAAGGTGAACGCACCAAGTTCCACACCAGAATACAAAGAGAGAAACTGCGAAACCATATAGCGAATTTGGTAAATGTTTCATGTTGTTTTCTCAAGCTAACACACACGAGTGGTTTCCGATTGTTTTTAGATATATGGTAAATAATTTTATTTTTTTTTTAGCTCGAATTAAATGTTTTATATGTCTTTCGTTATAATTGTTTATACAATATTTCATATTTCGTTAAATTATTTTTGTATAACCATTTCTTGATTTCAATACTTCATTAACACATTGTGCTACGTTTTTTTAAAATCTCATATACTTATTTTAATTAGCACAGAATTAATAAAAAAATATGTGAGTTTATAGCGATGTAACTACAAATAAAGATGAAGATCTTCTTATCTCTCTTATTAATCACTTTGCACACACGATAACACGCATTTTAAATTATATTTGTAGTTTTACAATTATTTTAGCACTATCGAGTAGTTCATTATACTTAGGTTACATTAGTCATAGGTTTTGTTTTTCAATTACTATGTGATTATATTTAAAATTGTATTGTATTTAATGTATTTCTGCTAAAAAGATACATATGTCAAATAAGCAATTTTTCTTTGAATTATATTAAATTCAACCTTATTAACACTGATGACGAACACAAGGAGAAATTTCATATCAACAGAAAATATAGACGCAATTTTTGCTTTGGACATAAAATCATTCTTCCTTGCAAATAATTGTTTCTCTTTTGTAGCAGTAAAGCATATTTAAGTATGAATGATCCAACTTTTTTAGTTGGACTAATGCTCCTCAGCTCCTCACCCTCACCATCAATTTACCGTAAAATCCTCTTCTGACCATCTTGAGGCCCTATTCACCATTTGCAATTGATTTCTAATTTAGATCATTGAAATCAAATTTATGAAAATTTATTTCATTTACTAAGTATACTCAGATTTTAAAACTTTTTTTGTCTTGTTTGCTTGCTGATAAGTAAGTTTTGCTGATTATAAATATATAACTTAATAAAGTACCGTATTAAAAAGTATTTTATTATTTATAAAACATCCAAACAAAAAAGCTCAACAATGCGGAGAGTAATAACGAAAAAGATTTACACGTCTAGTCACCCTCCAATAAGCAGGAATTTATCTCACTCGTTAATTTACTCACTGTAACTTTTTACTTTGCAAGACTATAATTTTTTTATGGTTTTATTGAAATGAAAACTCAATAAATCTTGCAAACATCCAATAATTGGATATATTGTCCCATAAACTCGTACTACATGCAAAATAAAAAAATTTTATCCTGGGTTGAAAGTTTTAACCTTAACTAGAAAACTGTCGAAGTGTTATGACGTTTCACCTAGTCGTTCTGAAGTTATGCTTACAAAGTGAAAAGGTGAATTTTGTGTTTTGATGCAAAGAGATGGCTTGATAAGTTTTGGGGAAGAACTCTTCCCGACAATAGGAAGCGCTGGCCTAAGTAGGGCAGTGAAGTGCTTAGGTCACAAAGTATCGACGAAGGACATTCGGATTGCAAAGCAACGACTTTTACATCAAGAATGAAGTTTTCGCGGAAATGCTAATGTTATGTTTCGTCAACCATGCAGCTTAGAAAGGATGTACAGTAATGGAAAAGATAACAACTAAAAAAAACTCAGAAGCGCAGAAATATGGTACTCATGATTCATGGGTCCAACCAAAGAACAAATAGCAGCGGAAGGTTTGATTACAAAGGCTTACTGGGTGCATTTGAAAATAAAGCATATATCTTATTAATATTATATTAAGTATTACTTTTCAGCTTTTACTTTGAAGAGTAAGAAAGTTAGAAATCAGTACTTCACAAACTATTATTGAAAATATTGAGTTTCTCATGTATCACGTCTTTCTCACTCCCTTCGACGTGACGTGAAAAAAATCTGTTTAAAATTTTGCAGTATCAGTATCACATTTTTAGCCGCTTAGCTTGCGCTTCGCCTTTATCAAAGAAAAACTTTTAAAAATTGTGTATTTTCTGTATACTGGTGCGTATTTTTGACACGTGCTCAAACAATACTGAGTCAATCAATCACAAAACTGTCTAAGAAAGTTTTTAGTATGAAATCGTCTCGTTCTATCGACATATAGCGTAACCCGATCGCACTTATATAACGCCAGATACAGATTATTTTTACTAGACCTGATTTATGAACAAACGGAGCGACATAGCGGTGTTAGACATTTTCGATCCGATTACAATATTTCAACTTGGATGTTACGTGCTATCGTAGATTTGGCATTTCACTTGAACGAACGTTAAAAGAACGTGTCTACTTCATGGAAGCAAGTTATGTGCAAAGAGCAGAACGACTTTGACAAAATATTGCAACCTCTTAATTATAATTTACTCAAAAAGAGAAGATAGTTTTTAAAAGTTAAAAAGTGAGTTTGATAAACCAAATGTGCTAGAATGAGAATTAAAATCGTGACATGTGCGTCTGAATTGTTCATTTAGTGCAAAATTTGTTCTAAATGATTTTAAAAGTAATGGCCTAATTTGTTTCTATAAGTGAGCCGGGATATTAAGTTTAACTTCACACAATAGAAAATAACTACAAAGTGATCCATTCGGTAGTTTTACTAAGAGTATTATGCCATGCATTTTCCTACGAGTAGTGAGTATCAGTAAATTGATAAGTTTTGATCAAGTAAAGTACAGAAAAAGGCTTCATCCGAATACCTAGCTTTCATACCACAGAGCCATATACCAGTACAGGTCTAATCAAAATGTTAAAACGAATTTTAGTAACATACGGATCTCTTAATTTTTATACTCTTGCAACATGTTGCTACAGAGTACAATATTTTTGTTCATCTAAGGTTGTTTGTATCACCTAAAACTAATCGACATTAATATAATAGGAATAATATATAATATATAAAAAATTATCAGGATGACGAAACGAGTTGAATTTCGAGTGACTGTCTGTTCGTCCGTTCGTCGCGATAACTTGAGCAAAAATTAAGATATTGTGATGAAACTTGGTCCACATATTCCTTGGTACCCAAGGGAGGTTGATATTGCAGATGGGCGGAAAGGGACCACTGCCACTCCCACAAAACGCCATTAAAATAATCATTTTTAAATGTCATAACTAAGATCCTTGCAAGTTGCAAGAGTATGAATGTTTGGTTACACGCGAACTTAGCGCTTCTTAACTTGTTTACACTATCGTTTAAAGAAACTAATAACACATTTCGCTTTCAAGCCCGCTGTACTCGTGTTAACATGAAGACTAAAATTAAGCTTACAGTCGTTACTATGGCCATATAAACAAAGTTAAATATTTGCTCTAGGCTATATTTTTTATTACATAGATTTACGAGGAAAACACATTCTCTTAAATTTTTTGAGATTCAGTGGCATATAATTTCTCTCTTACCAAGTAACTAAATTCTTTAAGTCCGTTTGCAACAGACAACTTTAACAAATTACATGCACATTACATCAAGTGAAACTTAAAGAAAATATCAATCGTTGTGTCCTATAGATAAATCAAGGTTGAAAACCAAGGTCATGTTTTTGCACCAGAACTGAGAGATTAACTTTATCCAAGAAGGAGGAGCAAAAACAACAGTTCCTGTAAAAATTATTGAAATTTTACAGTCAAATTGTCGTCCATATTGAATAATATCTTCTTTACTTAAATATTATTGATTTTCTAGTTTAACAGAGAAATGAAGAGGAATTTTTGGGTTAAGACCTCGAAAAACAGTGTGATGATTACAATTATTTAATCAAAAGTAACGTATTTCATTTCACTGAAGAGACACAACTTCGCTAAAAATAGTACTCTTAGTTGATACTGCACAAACAAAACGACGCAATTAACACAAAAGTAGACCTAAGAGTGATTTTTCAGTTAAATAAGATAGTGATGACAATGAAATTTCCTGGGCAGGCAGATAAGTGTATTAAGAATTAATATATTGAAAAAAAATTATTTTGAAAATTTTTGAGTTGTGACTCTTTTGTAGTTAGTGAGCGATATGTATAGATACGTATATAGTTGTATATATCGAATATACATACGATGTAGATACCATACATTGTATATCTATATTAGAAGTTGATCCGACAAATAGTTTTAGAGACATCCAAAATTTTAACTGCTTTTTCCCAAAACGTTGTTGTAAGAGTCGGTGAGGAAAATTTCTTCGAAACGGCTGGACCGATCGACTTGAAATTTTCACACAATAATCTTAGATATATTTGTCAGCTATTGATCATTACCTGTATTCATCTATAGTTATAATATTTGGTTTTTGGATTTGAGATAATTTTAAGCAGAAAAGTCTTTCTCAGCGCCAGACACTTTTTTTCGGACGTCCTCCTGGAGATCAGCTATGGGATTTTTAAAGTACTTTATATTCTGTAAATGTACATCATTTTTATTTATAATATTTATTCAAAACAATGCTTCTTCAAAAGCAGATATATATTTGGAACAATTTTAAGGAAGTATGAGGGAAGGTCTGATTTTAACTAATTTAAATGAAGTACGAATTCATTTACATCATACGTCATTATTTAAAGTAATCACACGGAATTGATGCTGATAGGGACATTTTTTAGGAGAATTAATACAGTAATTGATTAAATAAATTCTGCAAACATTACATAAAATATTTATATTCTATCGCGGAAGTAAACTTTGAAATCCTGCATTGGAAGTTAAGTAAACCATAAAACAATTTTGGATTATCTATATTATTATTTTTTGCCTTATTTATTTGACTTTTTGTTTAGGACCAACCAATCGCAATGCTAAATGTTTTGAAGTCACAGTATACCAGTTATTGAAAATTAGCTTTTGCTAAGTTAAATCTTGTAGAATAGAAGTTGGAAGAATAATGACAAGTAAATTGTCGGGAATTACCTACCGACAACTATCAGATTTCTGGGTTTTGTTTTGTACGCCTCTTGCTTGACATAACCCCATAAAAAGTCTGGTGAAGTCAGGTCAGGTGACTTTGGGGGACAGCGGAAATCGGGTTTCTTAATAATAATTTGTTTTCAATTTTCGTTGGAGCTCCGCAATAACCATTCTGGCTATATGTACAGTTGCTCCATTTTGCTGGAACCAATCGCTATTAAAAGGGATACGTTTTCGGCGCAGTTCTGGGTAAAAAAATCTGATTCAACTTCAATCTTTAATAAACGGTGCCAATTGACAGTTACTGTTGCACCGTTTTCTTCTAAGAGGTATGGCCTGAAAATACACCTTGATGAAACTGCGCACCACACAGTGACTCGTTCTGGGTGAAGTTCCGTCTCGTGGATTATTTCTGGATTTGATTCACTCCATATACGTTAATTTTTCTTGTTTACATTTCCATTTAGATCATTTCATTCAGACATAATCAGGCAATTTATCAAATTATTGTCTTCTTCGGGCATTTTATTAATTTTTTGGCAAAATTCCAGGAGAATAGGCAAAATTAGAGGGTTTAACCGGTATGTTATTTGAACTTTGTACGGAAAC